TGATTTTCATGAAACTTGTAGGAAGTTTGTTCCTCTCAGTTTTGTGTTTTTTTTCTCTGTCAAACTGGGAGAAAATTTGCCAGTGGGTAAAAACAAGAAGTTGTTTGGGGGGTATGGAGAGACAGGCTCACTGCAGGCAGACAGTTTGCAGGCACATGAGAAGAGAAGCAGATGTTAATCTGGGCTGTGTGTTCCTGTAGCTCTCTGAAGTGCACAGAAAATTGGGATATTCTCCCGCTTATTTAAGCAGAGTTGTGCCCCCGCGCAGTTCTCAACGTGGGGCTGCGGGTGTGAGTGTAGCGGGACTCTGATCTGGAGATGAATGCATAAACTCCACTATCTCAGGAAGAAGGCTGAGAATCTAAAATCAAAATCATACCTGCGCCTTCAGACACAGTCGGGAGAGTCACAGGCACAGAGGAGAAACCCCCTGACAGGTGAGTCAATGGCACATGTACACTCCAGGAGGTTGGCTTGTCTCTCCCAGCCATCCAGTTCCAGCATTTGCGTCTCTTTTTCTCCTGAGAAACCGATATATATTTTATAGCCTATCCTCCATAGCTGAGTCGCCGAGACTGCAAACAAACAAAACCTCCTTTCTCTGCCTGTCAGAACCCTGAGATAGAAACCATCTGAGAGGAGGACTCCTCTAAAAGCTATTCAGACAGCAGTCCCTCTGCCTCTCCACACCTCTACTTCATATCCCTGGGATGAGCAAATCTTCTCATAATATTAAAGTCTGCTGGCTCAGGCCTGTTTGTCAGATTCACAGGGAAAATCAGGCTCAAACTGACAGGAACAAGATGGATTTTGTTAGCTCTGGGTGCACAGTGTCATGACCAGGTTTGGTAGAGAGAAGCTCCTCTGCCTGGGTGTGCCCCTTGAGCCCTGCTCTGCCAGACTGTGGGACAGCACTTGCAGCGATGATTAAAATGCATTGCAGCTCGTCGGGGAGGGCAGTGGAATCAAGCAGGTGATTTTCTTTCCCAGCTGTTTATAATAGAATATGATTATGGGAGAATTTGCAGTCTCTCAATAAATTAGTTACATTATAAACCTTTTTGTAAAGGTTTATAAAGGCTTTTCCAAAGGGAGTACGTAGAATTCGATGCCACAGCCTGTTCAGGGAAAGTTCACATTTATTTGGTTATATGAATATAACATTCGTGTTGCACTGGATCAAGTCTGTCTTCATGTTAACCAAGACTAGCAAAGAGATTCTTCCTCATGGCTGGTAGAAACTGCTCATTATAAAAACCAAAACGATGAATTGGATTAGGCAAAGGTCCATTCAAGACTGGGCTACCCCTTGAGTTTTATTGCTTTTCACTGTGCAGCCTTTCTTGGGGTATTGCCAGCAGCTTGGTTTGCAGGATGGAGAGCAGGATAGAGGGGACAATGAAATGCTGTAAGACCAATGTATCAGGAAGACACGTGGGACAAAATGCTTGAACTGAGCTTTCGCACGCTTTGTATGTAGAGCCAGAGCCCATTCCGTGTTGTAACGGTTTCTGTGCTGCCAGCGATGTAACGAGGTGCAACAATTTGTTTTGTGAAAGCATTATTAATAACACTTTTATGCATACACGTGTGCATGTGTGTATGTTAGAAGAAATCTGCAAATATCAGCTTGAGGCTGAAGGCAATAAAAGTCTTCCAAGATGATGAGACTCTGGTGATGGCTTCAATGGAGCAACCCAGAGGAGAACCAGCTAGACAGGATCAGTCAGCCATAAAAGGTCTAAGCAAAGTAAAAGCAGGCATTTCAGATGTGACTCATGGAAAGGGCCTACTGTATCACTAAGTCTTTTGTAATTTTAATATAAGGACAACTTTTCTTCCCCTCCACTCCTTTAATAATGTGCTTTGAAGTGGATCCTATTCTGACCAGAGGAATGGGAGAAAGTATGATATCCAGTCTGTCTGTAGTGTCAAGCAACTGGAAGGACATGTGGGCTATTTAATTTGCAGTTAGGAGTCTTTGACTGCAAAGATAAGTAATTAGTAAAAGAGAAGGGTTCAAGTTAAGATTAAAAGCTGAGCCAAAGCTGTTCTGCTCCACCTATGGGTCACATATCTTCAAATGTTCAGGCTTGCATTGCTAAAATTAGGCAGCCAATATTTTTTTTTTTTTAAATAGCTGTTTTCATATTAGGCAATTTGGTGGTAGGAGGTTAGCAGGTTTGAGTATTGAGCTGAATGATTACAGAAGTTGAAATGGCTAATTGTAAATGCCCACTTTTGGAAAAACGAACCATTACCTATGCAAGCTTTCAGTTTCTTCATCTCTAGAATAGAGATAATATTTCCTAGTATGGCCCCTGGGACTTGGTTCGTTTGAATGGATTAACACGAGACAAAAGCTTCAGATTCTTTGGATGGGAAAGTGCTATGGAAATACGGTATATTATTGTGATATCCTTTGAGATGTTTCTGTGAAGCCAGTGGTGACTGTCATGATAATAAAGAAAGCCTTAGAGAAGCTAACGAAATAATGATCCTACTTCCTTTCTAGCTATTTTTTGAAAGGGCAAATGCAATGAGTGATAATGGTTTAATGAGAAAGAGTCATTAGGGCATCCAGCCTGCATCTTTAGAAGTGCAAAGCATTTTGGGAGATCTGAAAATTACTCGGAGAACAAAACCAAAGTAGCTCTGTCAGAATATTAAACTGTTATTTGTATTCTCTTTGAATGCTGATTGAAATTTCCCTGGCTGGTGGCTGGTACATGTGTAGTCACGAATGGGGCTTGTTCGGAGCTTCAGTGCTGTTGGAAGGGTGAGATCAAGGAATTACCTCAGTGCTTGCCATCTGTGTGTTACCCTCTGCTTAGAGCTTAGTGTTACTTGAGGATTCCTGACCTGTTGAATTTGCATGTATAGGAGGCCTCATGTAGTGGAATTAATTGGTCTGGATTATTCAGTTTTATTAATTGGGCTGCTTCAATTTCAAGCTTAGCTGGAGGGGGAAAGCTGCTAGGTTTTTGTGTGGTATTGATACCTAGCAAGATAAGAGCTTCAGATTCTTTGGATGGGAAAGTGCTATGGAAATACAGTACATTTTTTGTAATATCCTTTGAGATGTCTCTGAAGCCCGGTGAGTATCATTACCATGCACTATGTTCGCCCCATCTGAGGGGAACAGAGGGTTCGATATGCCGGGTAGACCCTCCTCTCGGGGAAGTCTGATGCCTCCTTGGCGCCTGGGTTAAGGATGTCATAGTTGTGGATGCCCTATCCCTGGAAGTTCCATAGCTGTGGAATCCCCATCCCAAGGCCATGTTGGATGAGGCTTTAAGCAGCCTGATCTAGTGGAAGGTGTCCCTGCCCATGGCAGAGGGGTTGGAACTAGATGATCTTTGAGGTCCCTTCCAACCCAAACTGTTCTATGATTCTGTCTTCAAAGAAGGAAGGTTAGTTCAACTCATTTAAGGAAAGAAGCAGTTTGCAAAACATTTAGGAATTGTGCTTGAAAGGTGGAGGGAAGCAAATGTGTTGGAGCCACATTAGTAATAAAACAAGCTTTTGACTTCATGGATCCTACTACTTGGAAGCCTGAAACCAGCCATCTGATTTTGTGGCACAGCCCTTTTGGTGTCATTCTGAACTCCAACAGCAGCAAGGAAAGCAGTGGAGTTGGGGCAGGTTCTGGCATCGCTCAGTTTGTGCAGCCACTTGAGCGGGAGCCTTGAGCCACTGGGCGCAGTGCCATGATGTTGTTTGCTGTGATGCCAGGAGGGTAACTTGGGCCATTTCTCTGCCAGGCAGACAAGGAGCAGGGGATTGGTCTTGGCCAGAACCACAAAGCACTGCAGATGCTGGAGGCTCGCTGAACTTAGAAAAATCAGAAAATGACTGGAGCTAGTTACTGGGAAAGGCACTGAATTGCTACATGTTCTCTAATCATCTGTTTAGTAAAAGCATGATTAGAGAGGAGGGCAGGGGCCATGAACTCTCATCTTAATAAAAACATAGGTATGTCTAGGTGGGCTTTTCGTGAGGGTCTTTCCTTGTGAACCTGATAAGGATTGTGTTTGCTCTGTCCATATGATAGAAGCTGTCTAAGGTCAGGAGCCAGGCTCTACCCACTGTTTGAATGGGGTGGGTGGGCTTTTCATGCAGGCTGTGATAGTCCTCCTAAAGAAAACTGGTGCTGACTGCTCTTCAGGTGTGGGATCCTGTGGTAGGTAGCTGTTGATTTGCTCTAGTAGGAAAAACCTTGTTTGCTAGGAAAAGCAGAGTACTAAAACAGCAGAGAAACAAGCAGGGCAAAATGAGGTTCCAAACATGCCCACAAATGAGGAGGAGGAAGCTACAGAAAACCCTCTGTGACGAAGCAGCCCTTTTCCCCAGTCACGAATGGGTAATGCCACCCCCAGATCATCTGTTCCTCCGGGTGGGATTTGCTAGTGTAGGGGCCTGAATCTGTCTCTGTAACTCAGAAAAATTAAATGCCTGGCACAGAGTAGGACGAGGGTGACTGAGGACTCAAGATGCCAGTTTAGGTACGTTTTTATCTAGACATGAGTTCAGCTGTTACAATTCTGAGCCACATTTGGATCCCCATCTCGAAGTCAAAAATCAGCCTACTTAAATAAAATTGTTGTTGATGGGTTTAATTTGGATTCTTCTGTTGGATTTGTCTGAAAAGAGAATTTGTGCTAAGCGTGCTGCTGAGATCAGAGTCCTCTCATGTAGATATCATTTGCAATCCCACAGTGGCACATGAGAGCAGAGCTTGCCCCCAAAGTCAGTCTTTACGGGCCGCACCACAGCCCCCCAGGTGCATAGGATCAAGTGATGCAGAGACAGACCCTGCCCCAAAGGACTCAAGTTTTCTTCTCTTTTCTGCTGGCCACCCCAAATGAAACACAAAAGCTCAAGTTTTAAGGGAAATAACACTCAAACTGTAACTTTGAGCATCTGTTCACACAGTCGTTTCCTTCCCCTGAGCTCTAATAACCACGTAAACTCTTTTTGTCTCCTCTTTTGTCCTCCAGGTCTACAGACTATGGCACTACCTATGAAAAGCTAAATGACAAAGTAGGCCTGAAGACTGTGCTGAGCTACCTTTATGTCAGTCCCAGTAACAAGAGGAAGGTAAGGAAGAGCCATCGAGCTGGTAGCTATAGAAACAAAATTACGGCATTCTGTTTGTTCTGAGAGGAATTATGATCCTAAAGTGAAATCCATTGGTAATTCACAAGAGCTTGAATTTACCATCCAAGTTGCGCTGTGCAATTCCATGGAATCCTGTAGAATTATGCCTGTTTTTGTGATAGGGATGGAGTCCTTAATCTTTTGCTGAATGTGTTAAAGAAATACAAGGGTTGCTTTTATTTGCTTCTGACTGTTACACCTTTAAAGAAGCTGAACTTGCACAAATGTTTCTGGAACTCTTGCTTACACTGGCTTTGGCTAGTACACCTCTCCCTGCCTTCTCTGTCTCATTATTAGAAATACTGGGTAAAAGGCATTTGTTTCTGCTTTTGACTCTTTTCCCCTTCATGCTTTCCCTAGCTAGAAGTTGGAGGTAAAGATGTAAACGACGTTTTCATTGGTTACATCATGTAAGGGGGCTGAAAACAGAATATGCCTGAGAGAGAGTGGGCGGGAGACCTAAGATTTGATTTGAATGTGTAGGAGAGAAGATGAGGTCATAGCTTTCAAACCCCCTGCTCATGCTTCCCACGTGATGCAATTAGGGCTGCAGCTGGCTCACACAGCGCAGCCCAGGAGTTACTGCTCAGTGCCTTTTTGGTTTAAAATTATTGCCTGTGTTGATTCAAGGGAGGTGGTGGGACAAAGACGCTTTCAGCTACCCACGGAAATCAGCGTGGGAGGGCTGCAGCACGTAGCTAATTGCTGGCAGTGGAGTTGTGTTTGGATGGGGTGCAGCCCATTCGACTTGACTTCCAAACAGCCCATCTCCTGTCTCCATCAATAGGTTTCCAACTAGTATTTTGCAACTCGTACTGTTCTTATTGCTGCTATTGTGTTTTCCGTCACTGGTCAGTCTACAGAGGTTTCAGGATTGATGTTGATTTCAGTGTATGCAACCTTAAGGCAGTCATAGCTCTGATTACTATTGCCAACAATATGTGTGTGTTTGGATGTATAGAGGAGAGGAAGAATGCAGTGGGCAGAGGTCAGCTTATATTTTTTCTGACGCAGAAGTTGAATTATTGTGACAACTACCTTGACTTCTTTTTTTTTTCTGAGTAAAATGGAATGAAGTTCTTTTGTAATGAGCTCTCCGGGCCTTCACACTCCTCCCATATCCAATATGGTGGGCACCGAAGAGTTAATTCTTCATTCTGTTTCCAGAGCAACTCTACCCACCTCAAAACAGAGGCAATATGCTCAGTTACAATTCCTACGTCATTGATGTAAAGTCTCCCTCACAAATTGGAGTACTAGGATATGTGATTATCTTCTAGCAATTTCTCAAGCTATTGAGCTTTACAGATTAGCAGTCTTTTCTTTTCTCTCCTGTTTTTGTTATTAATAACACCTACTTGTCATTATATAGTGGCATGCAGACCTATCTTTACCTGCTGTTTTCTTGTTTCAGATGAAAATTGTTTTAAATTTGTTTAGGGTCTTATGTCTTAAGGAAATGATTTCTGGCCCTATCTGTCTGTCTTCCCTCTTCTCCTCCCTTCTGAGAAATCTTTTGAAATGGAGAAACGAGCTGCAAGGAAAACCCATAAGACACCGGTTTCAGTGCTGGCTGCTATGGGAACAACTTGTTTTCATTCTTTCTACCTCTGCTAAATATATGGGCACTATTGCTGTGCATGGTTAAACAGCTGGTTTGTCTGATCCGGGAGCTGACTCTGCTTTGTTGACTGTCAAAGCAATTCCAAACATCCATGCAGCATTTGAAAAATGCCTGGAGAAGGTGTCACTGGATTGGAGCATCTGCGATTTGTCAAATTCAGTGGTATCAGGTTTATTCTCCACTCATGCCTTAGAGATTCATGAGGTTGTGCAAAATGCACTTGGGTTGTACTCTTCTCCAAGTCTCTCTGGATGAATATTGTTACAGTGGCCTGCAGAATAAATGCCATGGTTTTACTAAGCTCCTTAGGACAACCACCAGTAATGAATCAATTGCGTTCCAGCAGAGAAAGTCCACTTCCCTTGTGTTTCACCTCTAGCAGCACAAGTGCTGGCTAGTTGAACACGACACAGTGATCTCTTGTGAGCCTCAAAGCTAGATCTTTGTTTGAGGCAATAAACAGGGAGGGAGGTACCAGAAATAACACATGCAGACCCTTTCCAGGCAAGTTATTTTCTCCTGAGGCACTAGCTCCTGGGTAGTGATCAGACTGTGTGCCTCAGCTCCTGTCGATTTTTGATGGGTTTGCACACTGTTGCTAGCCCTGTCCGCTCATTAGCGCTTAGAGGATTAGCAGTTACTTGGAGGAGGGGAAAAGCTTTCCATACATTCGTTCCTAATTGATTTACTAGTGAGAAGGATAATTACCTCTCAGCTACCCTGCAGAACTACAGTGGGAATTACCTGTCAGATTTCTTTGAAAACCCAAAATGCCTCTCTTCAGCTGTTAAATAGGAATTATGCATTCAGCCAAATGCCAGTTATATAAACATCATTTACCTGAATTGTGGCATGACCCTAGGCTCAATTATGAGACAAGAGGATTTAAATGTTGGCTTTTTTTCCTTCTTCTTTTAAAATAAAAGCTTTTTGGTCTTAATTTCTTTTTTTGAACATTTTTGGTGGGAATATGTGATTTTTTTGACAGCTGCTTCTGTATTTCTCTGCTCACTGCTGTGCCATGTCATGGTGGAACACTGATTTCTCGGTACCAGCATCTCTGCTTATTGCAATATGGGGGATCACATGTGGCCAGAGTTGAGATGCAGAGGCTGAGCAGCTGGGTGAGGCATAGGTACAACCCACAGTCTGGGAGTCTGTCATTCCTCTTCTCTCTTGGTCCCAGGAAAGCCACACCTGATGTGTGTCTTACCCTCCTGAATTATGGCACTCCAACACCCTTTTCTTACAAAGTGGACTCCTTTCTGGATCGAATATTGAGCTTATTGTAGGAATGATTTGGAGAAATTCTGGAACATGTGTTACAAGTGGAGGGCAAACTTGGTGACCTAATGGCTCTTTAGGTCTTAAAATATTTAGTTCTCTTTGGGTTTTATTCTGCCCCCATCACAGTTAATGTCTTAGCATCTGCTATGTAACATTGATGACAAAAGCAAGTCCCCAGTTAGCTTCATGTATCACTGGCCTTCCTTTTTTAAGCTAAAAACTTATGTTTCAGTTTGGGTTATATATTTAGTCAATTTTATTAATTTCATGTTCTTTTTAGGCTTCCTTCTAAGCTGCTTCTGTGTTTGTCTCCCATCCCTAACTGGTAAGCCCCAGCAGGGTGTTGAATATTACCTCTGTCTGTATTTGATGTCCTGCAGAGCATTGAAATGTCTTTCCTGACACAGCAGACTGACAAATGCTGGAGCAGCCTGGAAGCAGCTGGTCCCTCAGTCCTGCCCTTTGCTGCTCAGTGAAACACGTCAGTCACTAGTGCCTATCAGTGGGCGAAATCACCATAAAGAGATCTTTTCTTTGTGCCTGAAGAGGAAGAAGGCAGCTCAGAGGGCAAGAGGTGAAGAAACACAATCTCTGTGGTTATCATGGTGATAAATCCAGGACAGCCTTGGTTCTCCCTGGGCACCTCTTGGCTATACTGGTATTTGGCACTTAGAGGCAGATTTAGTCTATGGGTGTTCCTTGGTTTTGTAAGTTGCCACTGGGAGATACCGACTCTCCACATGCAAGGTGTTAAGAAAGGCACAGAGCTTCGTAGCCAAGACTAAGCTGAGGTGGCTTTGGCTGTGACCCCACATGGTGCTTGGCAGAGGCAGGGCTGGGTCCCAGGACACCTGCTCCCAGCTGCTGACCCAGCCTGCTGCTGGCTGGTTTTGGAGCTGAGATAGGGGGTGTTCGTTTCCTAGAAGTCGCAAGAAGATATTTGGAAAACACACTTTGCCGTTGTGTAATTTGTGGTTTGCAGTTATAATTAAATCAATATAGCAACATGCAGATACCAAAGGAAGTTGCCGAGAATGCTGCTTCTCAGCTATGATTCTTCTTGCCTCTCAAGTATCATTGCTAGTGATCAGGGCCAGCATGGTGATCTGAGAGCATCCATCATTTGATATGAGGCCACCTTGGAGCGCCAACATAAGGAAACAATCAAGCAGGCTGCAGCTCATTGTGAACTCGTAGCCTCTGGCTGTACCGGAGCTGAAATGCTTCCTGCCGTGAGCCAGGACTATTTTATCTTCCTGTAGAGCAGTCATACTGCTAATTCCCTTCTCCGAAGAGCTAACAAGCTCAGGGTTTCACAACGCTTTGCAACTGTGCATACAGCCTCCACTGCTGGGAGCCGAAAGTGCCAGACTTGTATCTGCTCTCTTGCAGATGCTTGGACTGTTTCTTCTTTCATTTGCACACTAGGGACTTGTATTTGGATCAGGGAAATCTAAATTGTGTTCTCATTAATACTATGAAATTCCAGGTGATCATTAGACCTAGCAGTCAGGCAAGTCCTGGGAGCTATGGCTTTCTTAAGAGTCACTGTTTTGAGCCCTGGTGAGAAGCCAAGCGCCTGCAATTTTGACACTTCTGCCACCATGAAGATGCTCTAATAGGCAGAGCGTATTCCAGGGCACATCTTCCTCTTCAGTGCTTCTGCCCACCTGGTTGGTTGCCTGAGAGACCACATGACAAGCATCTGCTTTGCCCAGTTAACACATAGGTTGCAACAAGCCTGATAATTCTGTGGTGACCTTCAGAAAGGAGAGACTTTCATATTTGTTTAGCAGCAGCACCCCTTCTTCACAGATGAATGAGATTTAAGGGCAGATGGCTGAGTGCTCTGGAAAGCTGAGGCTTGCAAAATGCATGGCTTTGGCTTTTCTACCCTGTAGCCTCTTGTCTGTCTTTAGGGATATGATAAAAGGCTGCTTACTCTCTGCTGGGCAGAGATCTCGGTTCCCTGCTGACCTTTAATTTAATGCTGTTTTTTGGGCGTTAGTTACATTTTACTAGAGGCAGA